ATATACTTTGTTTTGATCAAAATAGCCTCAGTTGAATGGAGTTACTGTTTGCATGTCAAATAAATTAATTTTTATTAGATAGTTGCTATAAACCTTTGTTATCTAAATGCATTTTTGTTAGCACTTATATTTGCTAATGTTCTATATTATTATCAATGTTTTCAAATACTAACATTCACCTGAAAAAATTAAGTAGATTGGAAACTTGAGCATTGGTTTTCATTATATTTAAAAGCATTATAGACATACCAACTTTCAATTTTGTCAAAAGGAACGTTTTGTAAAGACTGCCATAAACATGCAAACCCTGTCTTTGGGACTCTTTCAGTCTCCTATAATATAAAAAATGAATAAAACTTAAGAAATATGCCAGGCACAGGTGTCTCATGCCTGTTATCCTAACTACTTATAAGCCTTAGAATGTTGAGATCACAGTTTAAAGACTGTTTAGGCATTTAAAAATTGTCCACAAAAGCCATTGCCAAGGAAAAGCTTGACACAGTGGCATATACCTGTTATCCTACCTACCAACTAGCCTTACAAGTAGCTCATACTGGCATTTGCCTGTGTAGGAAGCAAAATCCTATCTAAAAAGCAACCAGCCCAAACCAAGACTGGAAGATGGCTCAATGGAAGAAAACCAGTTTAGCAGTGTGAAACCCTAAGTTCAAATGCTAATATCATTAAAATAATAATAACAACAATAATAAAGACAATCCATTAAGGTTATTTAACTTAGTTTCATGGAAAATAGAAACCATACTGACATCATTTTTCTAATTTTTGTCTTAAAAATTGAAAAATCTTTAATCGAGAGCAGCACTAATCCATGGTTCTTGTCTGACTGATTTCCCTTTACTTATCCTGGTTCCCATGAACTCTAAGTAATAGTATTATTTTTTCATAGCACTCACATCATTTTTGGTACATAGTAGAGTCTCAGTAAATACTTTCAAAGGAATGAAGAATATTGTTGGTCCTTTTGCACCACCAGGCAATCCTTACAGGTTAGAAGTTCACCTTGTGCTGTTAGAGATACCATTTAATATGTACCCTGTCATGTGGTAGAAATGTCCTTTGCTGGGGCTTTTGATAACTTCTGCCTCCTTCCTTAAACTTAAGGACTAGCACAACACCAAATTTCTCCTAGAGAATCTTTACAAGGTAAATTTAAATTATAAAGGGAATCCTAATATGGCAATGATGAGTTATTATTTCACAGAGGTAAGAAAACTAATTTTAATTTTGATCAAAAACCATGAGTATATCAAAGAAAGCTATGGTACTCTAGTGCTAACCTGATGGCTAGTAAAAAAAAAATCATGATTTCTTTTTGCTAACTATACTCCATCACTTTTTCATACTTTTTATTTACATGATATGAAAGGAATTTTGCTTGCTTTTTATCTTTCTAGGAGTATTTATATTTAATCTTGGTAAGTGATCCTAAATTGGATAACATAATTTTTGTTATTCAAGTTGAAATTCCAGTTGTAAAACCTATTTGAAAGTTCTTCAGAGCCTTCTCAATGACTGCTCTAACATCTTGAAAATGTGTCCCAATACAAATTTCTAGTCCCATGTTCATGTAATGTGAGAAGTTAGTGCCCTAGAATACTTTGAACTACCAGCCCCCCCTAAGGTAACAATCTTCTCTTAGATGAAGAAATTTGTTTTTAAACATCCATTATTCTGTAAAGGAGGACTGTACTGTGAATCTTGACATTAAGATTTTGAAAAAGTATCACAAGCACTTGTTACTTTTAGGTAGAGATTTTCAAAACACTTTTAGAAAATAAAGTTTCTATAACCTATCTAGATTGAATGTTTTCCTGACAGATGTTATAAGTATTGTTCTTTTCAATTATATAATTCTTACTGTATAGCTTAATTCTTAAAATAAACTTTGTTTCTTTTACCATTTTAAAGTATTATTTAGGCCTAATAAGGAATGTGTGTGTGTGTGTGTGTGTGTGTGTGTGTGTGTGTGTGTGTGTGTGT